GGAAGGGGGAGTAAGAGGGTTTTCATGATTGCACTGCGGATAGAGCCTGATGCCCGGAAAGTGCCACGAGCGACTGAGTCTCGCCTGGGGTCAAGACTTTTACACTCAACTCAGCGTTCCTGTGGTAAGGTTCATGATTACTATAGACTATATTGTACAGACTTCCCCATCAAGCGTCATTGTATATTGTAATGAAAGCCACATCACAGTTTTCCAGCCATTTATGAACTGCTCTGTCGGAGCTGACAGGCAAATCTGTACACGATACAGGTACGTGGTGACTCTTTATGTCACATCAACAATTGACTTTGCTTATGCATATTATATCACAACAGGGTTTAGGCTAGTAGATCCGAGGAGCGGCGGGCCACATTGCAATGACCCGCTTTCACGTGTTCTTTGCCGCTCAAGCCGCAACTGCCGCAACTCGGACCTCCTGACCCTTAACTCCCCAGAACATATTTGCATTATAAGTGAAATGCTAAGAACAAAGAAAACAACAACAATACAATTCATCATAAATCGAATATGAGAACTTTCCAGCTTTTATCAACGAGGATCTTAACAACATGAAACTTACAAGTAGCAACAACAAATTGACAGTGCCGTCAAAGAAAGTGCGATGTACAGAAATATACAAGCTCACTCTTCTCTTTGAACAGCCAAGTTTCCATAATATACTGTGAGCGTCTTAATTTTCTTATTCAAGCAACTCTGCTCGATTTCGCATCTTCCTCCCGGTCCACTCAGCGAAATTAACTAAAAAATTATATTGCCGCTATACTGAAAGAAACAAGTTGTCAAAACACGCTGAAAGTGATTGTCAATAGCTTTCGGACTGAAAAAGGGGGGAGGAAAAATCCGCCACTTCAACCTTTTTAACAGAAAATCTATCGGTAGTGATACATGCATGTTCTTTAGTGGATCCAAGGTCCAGTGCAGTTCGGTTTGTTTGTAGCTTCACAAAAGTTAATATGACTTTGCGCAATGAAATAGCGAAAGGGCAAGAGGCTCTCCTTCCCCTCCACCCTTGGCCGAACAGCGCCCAAAGTCGTATGGAGAAAACTTCAGGAAATCAAAATTATAAGAGAGGCTAAGAACAACGGTTCTTTTACGCGTGGCACTACAACATCGACTTAGTGGGGCACCTGGTTCTCAAGGGGTTAGCTAAAAAAATAACCCTTCCTATTGCTAGTACGGCGTAGAATAACAGGGTACGTCATCTCTGTTGGATAGAGGGTTGGCACAATAGACTTTATGGATTTTGCAGATTCAAGCGCACGAAAGATAAACGCTCTAGTAGGCTGCACTAAAAAATACCACAAATCCGGAAACGTGACCGGAGATGTTTGCCCTCCCCCCTCCCTCCTCCCATGGTGAAATTCTGGGATCATTTCCACATTATCGGTGGTATTGACATCGCCAATTTCAAACATATCTACGACGCGTGCTGCAATGGAAAACAGCCAAAAGTGGCAATAATTGCAAACCAAAAAAAAACTGCAAGCTAAGCTGACAGGCGCTTCGGTATATCCTTCATCACGAGTGAGCTAAACGCGATGCAACTCACCTGTTTCACTTTCGTGTTTCTCGGTAAGAAGTAGGCAATATTCGGCGACATCTTTCGTGCTGCTGTGTAGATGTCAAAACCGTTCGGCGTGAGATCATCAAGATCGAAATCCTACAACCACCGATTTTCACCTCAAGATATATACAACAAAGCGCTGTTCGGCTTAGGGGAGAAGACATTGTTCTAGTTGAACGTCTTACCATGGCGAGATTCGTTGATTTTTCTCTGGTGTGAACGAAGCACGTGCTATTGCATAGCTTCACAAGAATCAACAGGTCTCCACGAGAGGGATGAGGTGTTATAAGGAGGGGCATAAGCACTGATTTATAGGGACAAGCAAAACACCTCATCAAGCCGAACTACGCCTACAACACCTCTAGTAGAACTCACGTTCGATTTCAGGTAGCTTGGTCCACCCCACGGAGGGCTAAGAAATACTGCGTCCACCTGAAATACGAAATGATACAGGCATTGAACTCGAATCGATGGGCGTAATATTAATACAACACACAGAACATCCGTCCCGCACCTAGTGTTTCGTAGTTGTTTGAAGTCTTAGTGATCGACTTTCGTACTAGGTACTTGAAGCACTCGAAACGTCGACGAAACAGCGGTTTGCTAAAATCCGAATAAGACATGCCATGACCTGAAAGCGCGCTTCTCCCATGTACAGGTCGAACGGCGACTTAGGTGACAATGGAGCCCACAGAACAGCTGTGGCATGTCTCATCCAGTCGGTCTGACTAGAACAGGTCTCCATTGCTCGCTTAGCTCGTACAGTCGTTGTCGAACATCTAAATCGTTGAACCATAACGCAAGGTCTTACCATTCTCCCCATCGAAATTGAAACTGCGATTGTTCGTCGGCACATGGAGTCGAAGAGCTGTTTTGCAGTTCTGGCACGCCTCCGACCAATCGCTGTTCCATCTTCTCCATCATGCGCAGGAAAGAATCGGCGGTCTCTTTGTGCTGTTGCTGCATGAGCTCGATGGTCTTGTCCTGACGTTCCATCCGGCGTTCCATTAGAGCGAGAATATCTGCCAGCTTGTCCATGAGTCCTTGATACTGATCGCCAGTTGTTGAATCCGGATGTAGTAGGCAGAATCGGCAGTAGAAGAATATTTATTAGACGAATGAACTCAACCACACAAGTGGGGTTTATATACCCCCGATATGATATCAACATTTAGGCGGAAAAACTGTTTCACTTTTCCACAGGCACGGTGTCGGCCTATCCAACAGATGTCAGTGAGAGCATCAGCTTTCAGTCCGGGGTTCACGGAGAAAATATTGTCTTTCCATTCCTAGGTACGTCCGGTCCATACCATCAACCCGCGCCTTGGCGACTGCGGTGAAGATGATGTCCTAGACCGTAGCGCGACGTTGTCGGAGCTGCTCGATGTTGGAGGTCATCCAGATCGAGAGTACTGGTCTCCAGGTAGCTATCCATGGGTGACTCCGTACTAGAAGTTTCGCAGCTGTTTGGAGGA